ACCATAGCATACTATTTCACATCGGTTTGGTGAATGGGAAAAGATTCTTTACTAGAAATGCATTTTTTCATAGACCGGCTCCCTGACTTCTGCTAAAGTGGACTCTCGGACTGACTTAAATTGGCAACTCGTAATCGGCAGTCTTTGATACTGCGGCCAACTAGCCAACTGTCGGATGTAGAGTTACCGAGTGATGATTCTCGCCTGGCCATTGGATACAAATACGCCGGATATAATATTTCGATTAGACAACTACTTGATCCGCCAGCCAATGGAATAATCGCATAAACCGACGGGCATAAAACCTACCATTTGAAGACAATGACAGGAGGAGTAGGCTGTGCGATTCCATTTTGCCAACAGAGGCAGACCAAATAGTCGAACTAGCTAAAATTAGTCTAATTTTTAAATCATAAAAACAAACAGGAAATGCATATATTAAAAAAAGCTGGGTTTCGAAGACTCCCTAAGTGTGTAACTCGACTTTTCATTTAAAAGGAAAAGTTGGTTACAGGGGCTTTGTGAATCGGTCCCACGGGATACCGAAGATTGTGCTAGCAAGTCCTCAGCTTATGCAAAAATTTTATTTGACATAATCTATTCCTGATTATGTCAGTTACACAAGTTCATCGGAATCGCAAGACGGTGAGCTGAGGACTTGTTAGCACAACCCAACATTACTCATTCAGTTTTGGGGGAGGCCAATTCCAGAATCCTTTTAGCCAATTTTTACTTCGAAACGAAGCGTCGAGTTACACAAGCAGGAAATGTCTCAACTGTTATGCTAATTTATTATTCACTTTATTTCAAGTTTGTATCCACCAGGTGAGATCCACTTGCGGTTGGAATGCTGGTCAGGTTGGGTCGCTTTGGCAGCCAAAGGCCGTTCAGTCCCTTGCCTCGACGAGGGCTTGCTCTTCTGGGACGGACGGCATTTGTAACTTCGCCGGATGACTCGAACCCACACCGTGCGTGTGGATCGGCCAAACTCCCCTGGCGTCAGGATCCTCTTAACCCGTGGCCAATGAGTCACATAGCAATTGTGAACTCCATGAATAGTGCGGGATAGGCGAGATCTGTTTTGCTCGTCTGCTGGGTGGGTTGCCATCGGAAGAGAATTGATTTGAAACAACTGCCAGCAATTCTCTAGTTCTCTTTTGCTCCCACCCACGCAGAGATCTCTACTGAATTGTGTATTGTGTCTCGGATCTGCGGAGTCCCCTGTCCTCCTGCCCACGCAGTCTGCTGTCTTTTGTCTGCTTATTGCTTTGTCTGTGTGCATTCATATGTATTTGCTCAAGGCCGTTTTGGAAAAGCAGCAACAGTTTAGCCAACGGATATCCGTCCCAACGGCTATGCCAGAGCACTCGTGAGTTTAGCCTGCCTTCTTGACTCACTTTCGCCGCCGAGGCCTGCAGGTAGCCTGAAAGCATGCGTTTGTCTGCTTGCATCAGCATCCCTCCGTCTTGGAGACACCAGTTTTTCGTCTCCACAACAAGCAATGTACTCCGGGGAGGGGGGTGGGTGGGAGCAGAGGGATAATGTGCACATGCTTGTGGGCGAATTCATGCATGGAAGACTGGCTCTTAAGCTCTCTTGCGTTGCAAGTCTTTCTATACGCGAAGCTAAGGTTACACAAATACAAAGAAAAGGCCGGTTTCGATTACTTTCCCGGGATAACATTGTTGTGATACTTTTATTTCGTGTGAAAACGCATGCGGAATAAATTCGTTGGTCGACCTCACCCAAAGACGACGAACGATTCGTGTTTGGCTTTAACACGGCCTTAAGGTTGACGCACGGTTCAGGTGAAAGCAGGCTGAGTTTTAATTCGTTATATGACCAACATTATCAGAACTAGAACATATTCTTGCAAAAAGTCTCAAGACTAAGTCAAGTAGACTGACGGCTCTGTCCCGCATGCTATGTATGCTCATAGAGAAAAAAATATTCATATATAGATGCGTATACACTTGTTTGGTTAATTCCATTTTACTGGTGTCTTTCTATGAGTGCAAGTTATACTGTCTGTACGCAATACCGGCCATAATTCCGAGTAGTCAGAAAAGAGCCTAACTTCAGGCCTGGATCATCAAGTCCTAATCTATTTGATAAGCTAATTAGTTCTACAAGTATGCCAGGATAATGGTTTACTTTATTCGGTAATGCGAAATTTAATCCTCTTTCCAATATAAACTTCACACCATCCTCCAAATGTGTACGCTATCTCTCCAAAATTTGCTGGAACCACCTTTAGTAATCCTTATCTTAGACACAAAGTCTCTCTATTTGATCATAATGACCAAGTTTTTGAGCTCCTTGCCATGTACTCTCCTAGTCATCTTATAAATTGCTTCTCCTGAACTGACTCGTGGACTGCGTGAACCTGAAGGGGTAGTATTAAAGCCAAACGGCGGCAGTAAAACGCGAATTAGCTATCGTCTTCTGATGAGATCGAGCTACGAATCTCTTCATCATGCATTTTCACACAAAATAAAAGTCTACACAACAAGGTTACTTTAAGCGATGCAAGGACTGAGAATTGTTTTTCCCACAACACAATGAGTAGTATACCTCACGGTGTTACAGCAGTTGACTTCAACTTGCCTCACCGAGTTGTACTGAAAAATACAACTTCACTCAGACAGGCATACAAATGAACCAACTATATATTTATGCACATTCTGAAGGCTACTATGTTGTCAGTTTATATGGAAGGTAGGAATAAAGCAATATAAATGTGAAGCCAGGTCTGATGCTGTATGCCAAGTGACAGGATAGACGGCAACTCAGCACTTTTTTGCCAGAATTGAACCGGGCTCTTGATGGACTGAGTCACTCTGAGCACCACATTAAACCGAAACATTTACATACTGGTTCGGCGTTGATTTTTGATGGAACCGATCTACTAATCCATTCATTACTCAGTCCCCATGAAACTCAACTCAACTAAACAATACCACATCGAAATGATCAAGGTGACGAAAAGCAAGCTCAGATAAAGGCCTATTTTACTCGTGGGCTTCATGTGTGCATTGCATGGTATAACGAATGAGCCACTTTCGAAACTATCAGTGGGCGTTTTATAAGCACTAGACATGCCTCCGTTAGCCTAAGACGAATGGCGGATTGATAGTTGAGTTTCTCATAATAAAATGAACAAGAAGACTTCAGATAAAGTGGTCTTTCGAATCTATCAGTAAAGCTTTATCAATAGTTCTAGTTAGTCTAAGTCGCATAGGGTTGAATGTTTTCTCAATAATATGAATAGGCCTTACATTTTCACCAAATTTCATATATCAGTGAATATATGAAGACCAAGATGTTGTGGCCTCTGGTATGGTCGCAGTCTCCTTTCGATTTATAAAAGTGGGTTGACCTCGTTGTCGCGTTCGGACTAGGTGCGTTCCACATAGTTGCCCTGACAACAAGACCAAGTTTCGACAACGAGGTCAACCCGCTTCATATATCATTGTTTCCAAAAGGGTATTCTCTTCTAAAATGGACTGTAATTTCAGCAACAGTAGCAGTTAGCGGGAATCAAACCCGACTTGTGAGTGCAGCTTACAATTTGGACACTTTATCACAACACCACACCACAACGAATACTCCTGGGTCACAGGGCAGACTTAAATTTCAATGAAGGCCAGGCTTTTCCCATATCACATTTTCGTGGTGCGATTGTCGAAGAAGCAAGCTTATATTCGATATTACCATATACTATACTACTTTTCTTCATAACGAGTAATTTTTTCAGACTCATTAAATCCTGATTTAGAGACTTTCTCACTAAGCCGAAGGGATCTACCGATAGACGAAAGACTTACTCATGAAATATTGAGTAATTCGTCGAATGCCTTGGCAAATACACGTTTTCGCCATTGTGACTAGTCCTTGGCGTGCTCTAACTGTCACGTCTGCACTGTAGCCAACTGATGCCGCCTGATGTGCTCGATTCGATCTCGAATCCCGTTGCGCGTGTCTATGCGACCAGGACGAACCCGAGTCTACAGTCCCGCATAGATGGGGAAGATATGGTAACTGGGATGATGCGGCCTTGGGTTTGGTCGCAACCCTCTTTTAGTTGAATGGTGTTAGTCTGACCTCTTTTTCGCAGCTTAATCTGGAGACAAATGAAACCTTGTGTAACGTTCCCTCTTCCAAAGTATTCAGGATGACTGAGTTTTGATGAATCTCTTGAAATAACAATGTTGTAGCGACGTATGACGTACGAGATTAGACAATCGCAGTCATGTCTTACCTTGAGTCGCTAAGCCTCAATCACCCCAGACCAACAGGTTATGATTAGTCGTTTTGTAATCTGACTTACACACGTACAGAAAGAGCTACTTACGGACTTACACAATCTCGGTCATGCTCTTCCTTGGATAATTAAGCCTTTTAAAATTACTTTGCGTACAAACGCTGACACACGTTCACACACACGCGTATAGGGGAGCTAACTAGACTATTCTATATTCATAAGAAAGTAGGGTTTCGAGACTTCCAGTAAATCATTGTAATGAGATGTATTCACCCTATTTCGTGTAGGGTGATGAAGGACTGGTAGTAGAATTTTCCCATAATGATATGAGTTGAGCTGACGTTTCCATTGAATTTCACATAGCCTTGCCTACCCAAAAGTTTTTCTCATCCAGGCACCAGTGGACTGCAGTTTCGACCTCGCATTGGTCTTATCAACACCC